ATGTGGTGTGTGTGTGTGTGTGTGTGTGTGTTAGTTATAAGGACTCCAGAAGGTTCAGTCATGCTGAGTTCAGAGGACTTGCTCTCAAAGGTCACACTCACTGGGGGAGAAGGAAAGGGACGCTCCCTTAGCCAATCATACTGCCTCCTGCTGCTGATGCTGCCCCCGCTGAATCACCATGGAGATGGCAGCAATATCTGTCCCTATTGACAAGTCATACAGAAGATGCATCCATTTTTTCTCAGTGGAGAGTAATATATCTGCATCTTCACAGTAGAAAAACTTCACAAAATAGCATTTGCATTAATTATGGATAAATTAGCGACATCCATGCTTTGTTGTTTTTTTCCTCTTTTTAATTCCCAGGCTCCCACATCTCACTCCTTTTAGTGTGTGAACGCTTTACTTTTTCTCACAGCATATAATGGAGAGGGTGCAAGACCAGCCTTCTTGAACTGACCCCCATCTTCTCTTCCACTCTCTATTTAACCTGGGTCTTTTCTTTTCACTCCACTCATCAAGTCCATTTCTCACACTCTCCTCTTTTGGCTTGTGTAGTTGCATCTCTGTTGTGGATTTGCAGGTCGGTGGAACCCAGTCTCTTCGTGTAGTAGGCTCAGTTGTGATCTTTTTAAAAGAAACTAAACGCTCTTTCCAGAAGTCATTACTGCTGTCAAGCTTTTTAAACATGTTTGTAAAAGGGAGTGATGTCATAAGAGGAGGTGAGTAGGACAGGAAGTAAGAGGGAGGGAAGAATGAACAAGAAACAGGAAGTCTGGATGTTGTGTGTATATATTGTCTATGTTATTTAAAAATGTATTTAAAAGTAATAATACATAATAATGATAATGCACACAATTTTAATATAACAATTTTAGTATGATTTACTTTAATGTATATATTTGTATTTAACAATAATAATAATAATTATTATTATTTTTAAATACAAATGAAATTTGTATTCTATCTCTTGATCAGATTTCACTTTAGAATAAGGGCTAATCACAGAAAGCACATGGGAATCCATTGAGAATAGGAACAAAGGGATCAAGAACAGATTGGATGGTCTTGGCTTTTTCTAATTGAATGACAGTTTCTTGCGCTTTTGGCTCAGGTTGGTGGGTTTACATGCAATATATTCTCAGCACATTAGAGATCTCAGTTGAGTTTCTCTTTCTGATACTAAAGTTACTGTCTAAAACACAATAGTATCTGATCCTTTATCATCTTGATGTAGTTTGTGTGATAACAAATTTTGTAAACATTAGAACTGAGACTCACAATAATTACAAATCCAACACATTTGAGTGTGCCCTTAAAAGTTTTTCTCTTTCAAATGGAGCGACTGTATGTAAAGGAGGAGCAGCAGATTCAATAATTATAATAATATGTTGATAGTTGATAGTTCAGTTGATATTACTGGAACAGTCGCAGATTCTGTTATCTTTTTCCTTCCGTTATGCTCTCTCATTCTACCCTTGCACAAGTTTTTATAACCCAAAGTTGTTATGCAAAGATAACTGACCGTTTTTTTTTTTCTTGAAGCAAGTGCCAGCTCATTGAGAGGGCTTTATAAAAGATTTTTTGCCAGCAATACGATGTGAACTTGCATCATTCAGTCATCCTTTAAATGCAGTAATTTTTTCAACTTATTGCCCATCACAAGACCCCAGAGGTAAATTTTTACAGCTCAGAAGTTAATTTTTTTTCTTTTTTTAATTTGTTTGCCTGTAAAAAAAAACAAAAACAAAACAAAAACAAGCATGTTTACTGGAAAACAAGACAAAAATATTTTTAATAATTTTCATTCAAGCAGCCAAGCAGTCAATTTTGTCTCACATGTTTCTGCTAAAATTCTTTGGAATGAATATAAAAGGCACAAATGAGACAACTGCTGACACAGTAAAGCCACAATCACACTGACAGTGAAGAAATTGCTGCAGGTCACGAGTCTCAGTGCTGTCACTTGCTAGTAGGCGTTCCCACAATGCATCACTGCTTATTTGCATAAAGTTGAACTCTGCTTAATTTTGTCACATCACCAACAGTTGCTGTTGCTCATGTCACTGGAAATTGCGAAATTAATGTCTTCTTGTTGTTTTGTTGAACTGTCATTGTCAACAACCCTGAAGAGTATAGAGCTAAATAAAATTAATAGAACAGCCAAGATGACTTGGTCTTTGAAATAATGACAAGAAATGTTTGAGTTCATATTTAAATGTCAGACTTTTAATTGCTAATCTCAAAATTGGTACAATTTGAAGCACAGTTTGTGACTTCTTCTGTTTGTAAGTCTCCTCATCACACTGATGGATGTTCTCTGTGTGGGTTTTCCTTTAACAGGCTGATGCTAAGATGGTCTGTGATGTTGTGAGCCGTATGGAGGATACCGAGCCCTACTCTCCAGAGCTGTTGTCCGCCATGATTCGCCTGTGGTCTGACTCAGGCATCCAGGAGTGCTTCAGCCGTGCCCGCGAGTACCAGCTCAATGACTCCGCCCAATAGTGAGTACAGCCCTCTGCTGGGAAGAGCCATTAGTGCTTTTACACTTCATTAAGAGCATTCTGCCTAAATATACCAATCTTTTATTATATCATTGACTATCACGCTGCAGTCCAGTTCATTTTAGAGAACTATCCACGGGGCATATATTTTATGGACTGTAAATTGAACGTGGCCACATTAGGTAGCGTCTACAGTATAATATGTATAGTCTTTATTTCCAATGCTTGTTTGAACAGGTTGCTTTTAGAGTATTATTTGAACTCAAGTAATGTCACTCTGAATGGAATTTATAGATGCAATTACAGTATGCGCTGATGAAAGGTCTCGAGTTTGTGTGTGTATGTGTCCTATACGTGTATGCGTGTGCGTAATAACATGGAAAGAGTTCAGTCAGCATTATATTTCTGATGTTGTGGTTTACTGTAATAGTTGGGGAAGCCTTTCCTTGTGGAAAGTGGTGTTTAGATGAAGACAAATTACTTGCTCACATATTGACAACCCAGATTATGTTACTATGAGGCAAATGTGGGAAGGGGAAGGACTGTTTAGGGTGCCAAAAAAGAGTTTGCTAGACAAGTCTGGGAGAGACGTTTTTCTTCTTCATTATTTGCATATAAACATCACCAAGTTTTGCATAAATGTTCAGCCTTTTGTTCAGGGATCAGTAAGACAAACAGTTGCCAGTGGTATTTCATCAAGTTCGGGTGTAAGAAAACAGAAATATCAAATGGTACAAGGACAATATATTTAATCTCATGATTTATATATTTGTGAAAGAGTGCTGTTAGGAGCTGAAGGAGATTGACCAATATATGGCGGACTGACATTTACTTTTTGATAGATAGTTGAATTGTAGTATTTTTTTCAATAACCTTGCCAATATGTGAAAAGCTGTAATTCTTCAGGAAGAATTTAATTTTAATAGACAATGTGAATACGCACACACACGCATGCACACACACACACACACACACACAC